GCTCAGACGTGACTTCTCAGAAAACGACATACATTAAGTGGCATTTCTCGAGCAGTATCTGTGTCAAAATGGATAATGATCGGACGTGTAACCTATTAAACAGCATTTGAGCACTAGAAGATGATTGCAACTTGAACACATTCAACGTAATATCATCAAAAGGCCATGTTATGTGTCTTACCGGTACCATTTCCGGTACTACGCTGCACCAAAGTTGTTCGAAACATTTCTTTTAAAGCCACGGTGAAACAGGGCTGTTTACCAGAACCAGTACAAATGAAGCGGATCGCAATTTGCTACCTCCAAGAGTAATCAATACGTTAACCAAGGTAAAGACGCTCATCCGTTCAAAACTGAAACTGTATGTATTTTATTCGGCAGAACTGCCAACACCAAAACCTTAGGTTTCTCGAATTGCATAGTAAAAGCAACATCAGTACTGGCAGTCCCGCAACGTAGAAACTTCTTGCTACGGGGTAGCTACATCATCGTGTTATTACATCGACTTTGTATTACACACCTCTGTACAGACACATAACCCACCCTTTCAAAACCGGGCACATATAACCCCGTTACACAGCTGCCTCATTTTGCAGCCTAATATCGCACACACTGAAAGTACAACTCGAATCGAGTTCATGTTGGCCGCTGGAGAGTAAATGTCGAATAAAATGAGGTCATATTTCTGCTTAAACCTTTAGCCACCAATCGTGCCTTATAGCACACATCAATTATGGTCACGCTTGTTAGCAAAGCCTCAGAGGCATCCAATCGTACGTTCAATTAATTCTCGTGGAATGTTTGTCCATGTTCTGTTCTGGCGATGCGATTGTAATTTGCTGTCCACCGCTAGTCGCCAATGTTCTACTTCGTCACTAGCCATTGCCTGCGCATACGTGGTAGGCAAGTCCGATTCTTCGCGAGAACAACTTCAGCTATAAGGCCATCTTCATCATACCTTGCACGCTTTGAAGATGGTGGTCCTTCGGTTCCTTCCAAAGTTTTTTTACCCATGATCCGTTATCCGCAACAACATTGGCTTCGCGTGTATGCCTTGAAAGCTCCACTTGCGGTTGATATACCAATCTTCCTGTGTGTCCAGTGTTGAAGTTCTGTACTTTGTCATTTCAGAGTGAACTGAGGCCGGTAATCGAAGTACCTCGACCCTTGACTCATTTGTCTCGGAACCCCCCCTCATATATCGGAACGACTGGAGTTTCTTCTTCTTCATACTCCATAGGCTCATCTTGATCTTGTTTGTGTGTTTTACGGCCCGAGCACTGCGCTTTCATCGTTCTTCTTGGTTACGTGTATCAATTTATTTTGTTTGGGTGGGTCTGTCTCAATAATGCCGCCCACTTCACGCTCGTCCAGCTTGACCCACCGTGATACTGATAGCGTGTCTTTCTCCAAATCCTAAATTCGGTACCTTCGACATCATCAAGGAACACGAACTTAAAGCTTTTGGCTTCGAGTTTCGTCCTCTTCACTTGATCAACGTGAGCATACCCATGAGACCCAAACACCTTAAAGCAATTCATCCGAGGCTTCACCTTAGATTCCAGCTCATACGGGGTATTTGGGTGCAGAGTATTGGGAGAGCGGTTGATCTGGTACACCGCAGTGCTTACTGCCTTTTCCCACCAACATGTCGGAGCACACTTGTAGTGTAGCATTTTTTTAAAATCGCCGGTTCATTCGTTCTGCAATTCCGTTCTGTTGGGGGCTGTACAGTACTGTCCGTTCCGTTGTCCGAAACGCAGGCACTTGATATGAGCTCTCATTGATTTTCATGTAATGCTTTGAGCATCTTGATTTTCTCGGCAACTTCAGTCTTTTTTACCAAAACGTAAACCACACATATCGCGAATAATCATCCACAAAAGTCAAAATGTACTAAGCACCTCCTTTCGAAAGTGTCTTCATGGGTCCCATCACGTTTGTATGATCTAATACCAATACACATGACGTTTTTGTAATGGACCATCTTTGAAAGACTACAATCGTCTGCTTGCC